ATCCACACGGGTATGATTCATGTATGTGCTGACTTAAAATGCAAAATCAAAATATAGAGTATGTAAGATATTCCATTTCAAAACCACATCTAAATGTGTTTTCTTTATCAATTTATAAATTCATATGATAGAATAACAATTCTTAAATCTCTCCCAGACTGCTTTCACTGTTAACCTTAAAAGAATTTTGAAAAGGGGAAGTGTGATAAGATGATGGCGATATTGCATCAAGTTGGCTCAAGTTATCTACCAAAACACCTTTCCATTCCTCATTCATCACATAATTGATTATGTTGGAACTCAGTATTACAAGTATGAAGCTTAGGGGTATTTGAAGACAGCAAAACGTCTTCCACACATCACAAATATAGGCTACACTATATACCTGTTCAGATACAAAGCCACTGACGTTTACAAAGAGCTGCTCAGATGTTTCCAATTAGTCAAACAAACAAATTCCTGTATTCCTAGGTAACTGGTAATGTTGGAAACAATAGCAAAACATCAGAAAATATGTAATTTTTTGGTTTACTGATTTAATGTAATTTTCAGTAATACTTGCACACTATGCAGAGCACCTGGCACCTGTAAATACTAATAAAACAATGACTTAAAAGCATGCACTAATGTGAAAACATACATATCTCTGGAATGATGAAATGAAATAGGTAAACCCCAGCACTCAAAATGAGTCAACAGATTGTATGGATGGTCATTTACACATTCTTTTTAAAAACACATTTGCAGAATGCACATGCAGTAAAAAACTTTGTAAGATCAGTTCAAACAACTGTATCTTCTGTGGAAAAGGAGGAAGTGGAAGTGTAGGTAAAAACAAGGACACTGATAATATAATCATGTAGTTTGCACTCAGTACATTACATATTGCCAAAGTTTCAGTGTGGAGGTACAAAAACATGTTTAGGACTTCCACAGTTCAGAACATGCCATCTGCTTTTGAAGCATGAAGACCAAATAATAAACTTCAGCAGCTTCTGTACAACTGCATGGTCTAGGCTAGAGTTGGCCAAACAACATTACCTGAAAGATTTATTTAACAAATAAATGCTTTTATGGACAGCTAAAGGTGCCTTTCTCAGCGATGAGTAAATGCTTACATCCATACCACTAATTAAAGTGTGACAAAAACCAGAAACAACTCTATTCAATATGTTCACTTGGAAGATACATGAAATATTGATGTACATAATACAATGATAAAGCTCTGTGGGGATGGACACCTTGTTCATTAAATTCCAGAGCAAAATTCTGACAATTCTGCAGGTAAATAAGATGGAAAAGAGTGATGCTATCCTATGCAGGCAAGATTTTAATTAATGCTTGCCTAGAATCTTCCAAACAGAAAAGAATCTGGTGTCCCCTATCACTGTCTAGAACAGATAATCTAACTTTTTAAGGAAATATTATTTAAAAAATTATCATTTAGAGAAGAAAAATGTAAGATGTCTAAAAAAAATCAGTACTCCTACTCTAAAAACTAAAATCCATCCCACTATCTAGAAAAATCAAAATCCTGGTGACTTGATTATCTCAATCTCTTGCTTGTTAAAGTTACTTTCCTTCAACCACTGAATTGAAGAAACACCATCTGGCCCCAGTGACAGTCACATCACTTTAACCACAAATAACGTACAGCAAATTTTGCATCAGGCAAACGTTTTTCAGAACCCACACATGGAACAAAACGTGTTTGAACATTATGAATGTTCAAGAAAAAAGAATTATTCTTTGAATAATTTTAAAGAACAAATCCATAAAAGCAATCCAAACTACATCTCAAATATATGCTCAAAGCTTTAACGGAAAAGATCAATACTATCTCAATTATGAAATCACAAGAAATTAAACCCAAACAAATGCACATTTTCAAAACCAGTAATCAAATAATTCTAAAATAAATAGAAATGGAAACAATGAATAAACCTGGATTGAAACGGGTCTCTAGTTTCTTTAGGCAAGGCAAAAAAAGTAAGCAATCAGAGGGTTTTTTTTTCTTCTATAAAGCTGTTGTTTCACAAGGACCGTAAAGACAATGACTGAACATTTAAAACATTTAATTTTCATCAGGTTTGAAAGAAATGACCATATCTAAGGAAACTAATCATATAGTTAAGAGAACGTAATAGCTGTAAACTATGGGGAAATCTTAGCTTCCTGTATGTGGTGGATTTAGAAAGAAAAACTTTTAAGAAGCTGAAAATCTGCTTCTATAGACGTTATTGGTCGTGTTAATTATGCTGTTTATCCACTGAAGCCATAGTTGCATCCAGAACTGGAATATCTGTCAAATATGAACTTATAGTCTTATTCAAGGTCAAATTTAACAGAAATATTGTCTCCCAAATGGAGCATTTTCAAACAGTAACAAAAATACTTATTTATTCCAGTCTTTGTCTCTTTTCCTGCATTACAGGGGAAAAACCTCATTAATTTTGCAGGTAAAAGATACAGATAGAGTTATCTATCTTCGACAGCCACTAAGAGAACATAAATCAACAGTTTTGTCATGGATTCATATTTTATAGCCTATGATACAAGATCCTGGGGGGCCACAAATGCCTTGTCAAGTTTGCTTTTTTCTTTGGCAGAGGTTAAGGAAGATTGCTGAAGCATTACAATTTTATTGCTGCTTGCTGAAGGATATACTGCTCTCTCTACATTTTAGAAGGACTCACAAGAATAATCACTAGTCATTTTGAAGGCCAAGCCCAGAAACTCAGATGCATGTAAATCCCTGCCAGTCACAGTCTACAATCACACCTTACAAGTTATTTAGTATGCCACTGTTTTAAAGATAGCAGTGTAAATTCCAGTAAACAAAGGTAATGTGTAAATCGAACTGACATTACTTTTTAGTGCAACAACATGGAGAATGAAGACATAAATATACAGGTGTTAATTTTAAGGTAAAAAAGAGGGAAATAAATTTCTTTTTCAGTGTGAACTTGAACTCTATAACTCGAATCAATCTTTTCCATGCCATTTAGCTGCATTTGTTGCTAAGATATTATTAGACTTTGAAATCCATGCAGCATTTTAATGTCTTAATCTTATGAAGCAGAGACAATGCTACCACAGCTAATACAGTGCAGACAATTAGCTGACCAATGTCTCACACAAGAGTAGTCTCTGAGATTAAAAAAAAAAAAACAACTTAGAATTGTTTGTTAGTATTGAGCTGTATAGTTCTATCAAGTATCTTCTAAGAGAAAAAAAATCTTTATCTGCTAGCTCCTAGGAAGAGGAAAGGATAGAATTTTCTTTGTAAATTTTATACACATTTACAATTTGTACAAAAATCCTAAAATAGATTAATACACTGTCAACTAACAAGTAATTAGATTTGAATGTATGCTGTGTGACTTTGCTTCATTAATACTAGGCATTAATACTAATATAGAATAAAAGGAAAAAAGCCCATTTTAAATGGAGCATAAAAGTAATGCACAGACCTGTGGCTGAGAAGAAATATAAGATGGAAATGAAACAGTTCCTTAAATGGTAGATCCTTTCATCCTTTCATATATTGAAAAGAGGTTTTGTATTTATAGTCTAACAAGTTTGTTTCTAAAAGAATACGCTAAAGCTTACGGGCTGAGCATAAAAACTAACCAAAAAAAAGTCTAAACAGTCTCTTCTCCCCATACCAATCAAATCTCCTGGCATGAGCAGCATTTTAGAATTTCATAACATTTACATCATACAGAAACAGTTCAGAAGGCAAGTACAAAAATCTTCAGATGATACTTTTATTTTCCTTTTTTGGTAGTAAGAAGGTAATTTGGGGAACTCTGATGTGCATGTTTCTGAGTAACTTTTGCAGTCTCCTTCATATACTATCCTCTAACAGCAAAAATGGTCCTAGCTAAAACTACCTTTAATTTAATAACTTGTGCAATAAGTTCCCTCACATCACAAATGCTTACAGTTCAGGTGCAGCAATTAGCTCTGATACTTTAACTATGTAATAAATAAAGTAATATCTTAATCACGATAACTTGAAATTTTATATGGGCATGAGAATTATTTCTAAAATATTTTTAAAGTAAACTTTAAATACTTTACCATTATTTTAATGTTACTAATATAAATATAACACAACATCTATATTATTTCATTCTTACCTTTTTCCTAACTTGCACATATGAAATTCCATGAGTGGAAAAGAGTTAATCCATTACCAAGGCATGATACCAATACCTTTTCCAAAATTATAAGTTAACCATTCTGTGAACTATTGTGTGTACTAGATGAAAAATGACAGTACTGGTCAGCCTCCATTGTGTACTGCTGACAGTACAGTTGCATATGTAGTTATGACAGTTTACTGCATTGCGTGATGTTGTTAGCATGCCCATTTTTAATTTTTCATCTTAAAATTAAACAATAAATTAGTCCTATATTTAGCACTAGAATTCTGATGACAAATCTAATTTATTCAGTGTGTAAATTAATAAAAAAAAATTATGAGCTAACCATTTGTAACCTCCAAAGTTATGTTTAAATTGTTTCAGTTCTCAAACTGACTTCATCTGTATCTGTAAAAGTGTCTGGAGTTTGAATGATTCATAAGTTCTCCAAAGGACTGAACTAATCTGTGTGAACTAAAATGTATTTTCAATCAAGGAAACTACTTTATGAAAAAGGTTTCTAACTATGCGTACAATTTTGCTAACCATTTGTAACCTCCAAAGTTATGTTTAAATTGTTTCAGTTCTCAAACTGACTTCATCTGTATCTGTAAAAGTGTCTGGAGTTTGAATGATTCATAAGTTCTCCAAAGGACTGAACTAATCTGTGTGAACTAAAATGTATTTTCAATCAAGGAAACTACTTTATGAAAAAGGTTTCTAACTATGCGTACAATTTTGCTTTCCAATATGACTTGTCTTTTTATTGTTAAAAAAAAAGTGGTCACACTTTATTGCACAATATATATGACTAAAACTCTTTAGTGTAACACAGTGGTAAGTTCTTACCTTATTGTGATAGGGACGGGTATACCCTTGCTAATGGATTGATTGACGGATACAGTCAGAATGTTCTGAGAGTTTCCACAGCTGAATCGAACTGTTGGTCTTCCCTCCACAAGATACAAGTGAAGAAACTGTTCTCCAAAATTCCTTTCACTAGCTTTGAAAACAAAAATGGAGACAATCACACTTCTGAAAGTGTAGAACCTTCCAAAAATATTCCACACTACTGGAACACCCTCGCCAGTCATAATGCCTATGTGACATTGAGGAGTCTTCTATCCATATACAGGACTCTGAGTGACTGTGAGAATAAATATAAACTCTGTATCAACTGCTGATAACAGGTCAAAGTAAAAGAAAATAGCCAAAAGACAAAATTTACTTTTATACCACTGCAGTTGCATAAACCCTACAGATATCTTTACATTAATTGAAGGTGAACTTTTCTCTATATCCAGCAGTATCATTAAGGTGACAAAGGTGATGATAAAAAAAACAAATCACAAAAATACTATAACCATATTATAGAAAACAAAAATTATAAGAGAGCGTCTTCTCTTTCTTATAATCTCTGTAAAGGTTATGAACAATTCACCTTTCCCAATTAATGACACATTTCAGACTTGATGAGAATAATTGTTATCTACAAAATTTAAAAAAATTTCAATCTTTGTTCACTTCCACTAAACAGTATATCGTAAATATGAGCAAAATATTTCTATTTAAATGATGGATGGCACATGGTTTGTCTGCTAAAAAAAGAACTGACACCTACAATTGCAAATTATTTTGGATGGGTTTTTTTTATGGATTTGCCCTTTGATTTTAACTGTATTTACTTCTCATAGAAGGTAAGACACAGTTCCTGTTTAGGATTTTTATTCCCCTTTAAGACAAACTGTTAAAATGTTAATCTGTTTTTTGCACTATATTTTACTATATTTAACTGAAGTAAAAAAGACTCAAAAGGTAGGTCATGAAATTGAATTTACTGCATATACTTGCTCAGCAGTATTTGAGCATAAGATTACTATGTTCTTCTTAACTTCCAGAATCATAATGTTTGGAAACCTGGAACCTTGAGGTTCTAATTCTGTATCTAATTCTCCAGCTTGTTTGGAGCACATTTCCTATCCATTGTCTGTCGCTGAGTTGAGAAAAAACACACAACACATACACCGTACAAATAAACTTTTCATGAAGGTACGTGGTAGGAGAGAGCACTTACTTCCTTAAGGTTATCTGATCAACAACCTCGTCAAATGGGATGATAAGGAAAAGGGGGAAACCAAAATACGCAGAGGCACAAACCTGACCAACAAATGGAGATAGTAACAAGAACCAAACCTGGTCATCTACACTAACTGGTATGGGCATGCAGAGTGTGGGAATGCTTATTTCCTGTCAAAAGGAAAAGGGGAAGGCAATAAGCAAAACACAGACATGACAAACAAAAAGTAACAGAAACAATGACAAGAAACCAATCTTCTCAGTCACACTAATGGATGGGCTATCAGGAAACTTCATGCATCACTTCAAAAAGTGCCAGCCTGGACTTTGCAACTGAGAAGGGTGCAAATCTGGGGGTCTGGGATACTGGGGGAGGGTTGTGTTGGTGGGACTATGCAAACCAATGACGCAATGTGTACAAACAGGGAACTGGGGAGGAACAAAAGAGGAACAGACCTGAAGGGTATAAAAGGGGAGGGTTGTATGTAAAACGAGGCCTGTCAGCATGCTTATCTGCCAGAGCCCTGTGCCTTATCACCACAGCCTGTCCTGTCTCCTTATTAAATCCTTTCTTAACTATCTGTGTAATCGCATTCCCTATCCCACATTAGAGTGCTGCAAGGACTAAGTGCCAGCTATTGGGGGAATCAGTGTGAGTGGATTTGGTGCCAGCTACTGAAGTCAGGCCTGGGTTGTAGGCACCCTGGCCTGTGGTGTTAGCTAATGGAACCAGCGGGAGTCTCAATGCCAAGGACTGGAGCAGAAGGGGGGTCTCAGCCACCAACCACTGGGGCAGTAATGTTGTGTGTCCCAAAAACCAGCTACTGGGAGAGACCAGGATAAGTGTGTTTGTGTCTGTGTGCGTGTGCGGGGGGCTGCAAAGCCTAGGTGCCAGTAATTGATGAGAGAGGCCTGAATAGATCTGGGGCCAGCAACTGGAGTCAGACCAAGGGTGTAGACACCCCCAGACCTGTGGTGCCAGCAACTGCAGCCAGTGAGGATCTCAGTACCAGCTACTGGTGTGGGTGAGGGTCTCAGCTGCCAGTCACTGGGAGCAACCGGTGTGAGTGAAGTGAGCAAGGGACTCAGTGCCAGCTTCTGGAGTGGGGCCATGGGTCCCAGCCTGTGTGCCTCGTGCCAGCTTCTGAGTGTAGGTGAGTGTATTCGCTAACAAACTTCAAGATGTACTACCTGCCAGTAGGAGGCCCCATGTCCAGGCATGGGTATCAGATAGGTAGATGGTCCATGCTGGTATTTGGGGGAACCCCCAAGTGTGGAGTGCTTGGGGGACGGGTGTGTGAATGCATGCATCTGTCTGTGAGCCAGTGAGTAGGAGATCCGTGGGGTGGGTAAGAAGGCCTGGGGTCTGGGCAGGGGTATCGGATGGACACAGGGGGACGTGCTGGTACTTGGGAGATCCATGAATGTGCACGTGCTTGTGAATCTAGCAAGTGTCATGTGTGTGCGTTCACTAGTGAACTTCCATCTCTACCAGCCAGAGAGGAGGAGAGGACTTGGCTTTCTACAGTCATGTTTTATGTGAGTCCTCTAGGCAGGTGCTGTTGAAGGCAGTGGCTTGCCTGTGGCAGCCAGCCATGTCATGTTCTGTGTGTATCTGCATGTGTGCACGTCTGTGTGTCTCTGGGATACATGTTTAACTTCGCATGGTTTAACCTGCAAATGGGAAAGCAGCAGCCACGTCCATCAGCCTGGGATGGAGACCCCTGAGCCTCTGGGCTGTGTTCCAGCAGCTGGGCAGGAGGGAGTTCCAGGCCTGGAGCTGCTTGAGGTGGCCACAGCTTAGAACATCCCTTAACATTTTTATTCAGAAATGTATAAAGAATGTGGGTGTACTTGGGACAGCTCTTTGCTGGGAAACCTACTAATCTGTGAAGAGAAAATGGTCAACTTTAATTTGGAGGACAAAACAGAAAGAAAATGATAATATATTTTAGCAGATAGAGAGAGGCAACAGATGCTTGCAACTTCCTGATCATTTGCTGTTGTATAGTTCATAGCAGAAAAAGTTCACAACGTAAACTCCCTCCTTGAGAGCAACTTTCTAGTCAACACAAGATTTCTTCAGTCTGTTACAGATCCTGACGACCTACTGAAAAACTTTTATGCTTAGACAAATTTTGTATTCTGAATACCTAATTAACTCCAAAGCTACTTTAATTTGACTGGATTTTATGCCTTTGGCTTTTATGATTTCCTTCTACAATAATTTGATAATTCTTTTTCAAAATATATTGCACTCACTGTTAAAAAAGTCACTGCTTTTTAACCCTAGCATAACTGATATATGCACATCTTGCATCATTTGTTTCCTTATCTTCTTCTCCCCTCCCTACACATGCTGTTCCAGGCATTTCCAATTTCTATCAATAAGTAAATCTGTAAGTTATATGGAATCCAGAGAGAATGAAGTGGGGGAGGGTTGTGAATGTATATACTGACAACATGTCTTGAAGACATGAAGTTACAGATGAATAGCTTATTTCTCTTCTCCCAGTGACTCTGTCTGTCCATTCACATTGTCCACTAGTGAAAACTTGGAAGAAGGTCCTCGTTATTACTAGTAAAGTAAAAAATTTGGGACAGCTCCCCCAAAGGTAGCATTACTCCTTGAAACCTCAGTGAGTGTTACTGCTTGAACTTTAGTCTACGGAGTGCTTCTAAGTCGCACTTACAGGTGACTAATAGCATTCTTCATATTATCTGCTAGGTGGTATGAGATCCTTTGAAAGAACAGTCCTTTAAATCTTTCTACAGTGAACATGAGGAGGCAGTGTCCCTCTGAAGAATTTTGTTCTGGCAATGTAAAAGAGCATATGCTACCTAGTGTATATGGTGGGAAGTTGCCTTCATAGGAAAAGCCTGAGTCTTAAGCAAAATAGGTTCTGGGAACAGAGAGAGATCAGGAACCATCTAAGTAAAAAATCTTGTTGAATATTAGGGGTAACTTATCTTGACCTTAGTAGAGATTATATGAGGGGATCAGGTCAAAGAAACCAGATCTCAGCAATCATTCTTTCACAGGAAACTGCAAGCTGGAAGGCTATTTTCATACAATCAGTACGATGGCAAGCAAGTGGTCACTGGGCTCAAATGGCTGCCTATCTAGAGAGGACAGATTTAAATTCCCATTAAGCTATGGAATGAAGCTTTATTAGGCAAAAAACATATTTTGGCACAGAGGAAGGATACCGTGAAATGCTCTGCTTGAGAATGCCAGCTGAAATAACAGACAGATAGACTATGACTGAATTGCCTGAAAGGCCCATATTTAGTTTTAGGACGGTAAGTAGAATATGGGTAGATCTGGGGAACAGAGCTTCTGAGAGGACAGGAAAATAATTTATGAACACAACCTATGCAAAAGCAGCTGGTGTCCTTAAGGAATGCTATAAACATGGGCTCTGATATCTGAAATCCAATTGTCAGAAGTTGTAGAATACCATGTATAGTAGAAGTTAAACAATCTCTCCTTGAAGGGATTGCGAACAGCATTATGCTGACTCTGTTAAAAGTGAAAATGATGAAGTAAAACTTTATCAGTTTTTTATGACCACTTGCAATTTATTTTGCTAAATTAAAAAAAATCACAATTTTCTTTGACATGTTGAAATTAAATCATGAAAACAAGTAAAATCAATAAGGAATAGAATAAAAAATTGTAAGAATGCATACTGTATTCAACAAAGAAATATTTCTCAAATGATGGCTAATCTTTATTGGCACAAACGTAACAATTGTGTATATTTTCACATTGTGTAACTTTTTCTCCTGACATATTTAAAGAGAAATCTCCTCACATTCTGCCAATAATTTAAAGATAAGGTAACTGCAAAAAGTCCAGACATTTTTAGTCCATTGCTTGTTACCATTTATATGCTTCTTAAATACATATTGAAAATAATTAGG